GCCTATAAGCTTGTATGTGGCACGAGCGTGGACTTTGTTTCAATGAGGACTTGATTGGTTTCCTCCTGGGACTTGAATAAAATGCTTCGGGAGAATACGACTTCCTTGGTTCCCGATTAGCAGGATGCAATTCAATGCCCTGCCGATATTGGATTGACGGCTAAGTGGCCTAGGCTTCATAATCCACGGGCCGATGGGCCAGGGACATGTTATGCAGGAAGGGCCGAAGTAGCGTTGTCAAATATTGCAGAACATCAGCAGTGATGATGAAGAAGCCTTTTTCTGGAAGTGTAGTAGCATGCCATGTAAAGATAACGGAAGCAGTACTTCGTGACCTATTGAACCGTTTTACGGCTCGAACCAGCATGAAGACTCTCTGCATATGGGGCCTCGTTGCTCTCTGGATTTTTGCTCACACTGGGTACCGCAAGCATCATGATCATAGTCGATTTCAATTACAGTCGAGACTTCGCGCGGTCATAATATTTCCATAAGGCGTTTGATCTTCAGTCAATATCTACCACATGCTGACAGCTCGTCACATGATGAACAAATGTACAGTCTCAAAACTCTAGTGTTGGAGATCTGCCTGTTTCTTCCGAATCCTCATGTGTCACTGCTTGAAAGCAGCACCCTGGCTTATTCCCGTTCAGCAGGATAGGGCATCGCGCCTGATATTCTTGTTGTCAAGACATTCTAGAGTATGTGTGTGTTTGTGTGTGTATTTGTGCGGTCTTTGTAAGTTGTATGACAACAATAAGTTGCATTTATTTCGAATTTCTGAAACGACATTGAACGCCCTTGTGGTTCAAAATACCATAGGACGAGTTCTGCCAACCTGTTTTGATCCATGTTTTGAAGCTACTGTACTGTAGTACTGTACAGTACAGTCTGGCCGCCGCAAGCTGAAAAGACCACACCAACAGCTGACAGACATGAGTTGAGCCAAAACCAACAAGAACTTCCATCACACATCAAACGAATTGAATTTCTGCAACATGAGATTATGTCAGTCATTACAGTTATTGTTTGCCCTTTGTAAGTTGCAGGGGGTAGCATCGTTCACTTCTTGCATACAGAATAAAAGGACACAAATCTATTCCAATGCGGAAAATGCAATGGAACCAGATGTGATTGATATTGACATCACAGACTCTAGCGATTCTGAAGATGTTCCAATGCCTGATATCAAGTCTCAGTTTTGTGTGACTGGAGTCTCTCCTTCCAAGGAGATGCCATTAAATGAAGCCGTATCGAGGATCACTAGTTTATCTTTGGAAGAGGCGAATGATTTGATCAAGCTTGGAGCTGTGTGGGCCAGAATGGATACGCTAACCGAAGAAGATCTCCTGTCTCAATACGAAAACGACGACGATTTCGAGCTCTATGCCGATTTGCCGAAGGGATGGAATAGTGGCACATACGAAGAAGAGGAGGACTTGGACTTGGAAGAATACATTGCAAAGATGGAATCTCAGCGATTTCGGAGAATTCTTTCACCACAGCTAATTCAGCCCGGAACAGACCTGCGCATATATCCCAAACCTCGTCGATTTCCAGCTTGCTACAGGATCGACAAAAGCAGTCTAATATACCAAGATACGACGTTTATTGTTGTGGATAAGCCTCCTCTTCTTCCAACACAACCCGATGCCAGCAATTACTATGAAAATTGCCCAGGCTGTGTGCAAGATGTCTTGGGCCCATTCTATGACATTGTGGGCAACGAGATTCGAAGACCTCTGATATGTCATCGTGTTGATTCAACTGTGGGAGGCTGCGTTGTTCTCAGCAAAGATCGTAACGGGCAAAAGGTCTTTCAGAATTTGCAACGCGAACGAAAACTGAAAAAGGTGTACCTTGCGGTCACAACGGAACCGGTTCCGGTTGGAATGCACCTCCATTGGATGTGGTCACCGCAAACGGCTCGCGGGAATGCCGGGGGGCCTCCCTGTCAACTAATCTCTCATTTCCCACCGGAATCAAGACGAAAAGCTCGACAGTTTTGGACTCGTTGTGTACTCGAGGTTACCAAATGCGAACCAATCGAAATAGAGAAAACAGATGATTATGACCCAGGAGACAAGCAACATTACCAAAATACCATTCGACTTGTTACTGGCAGAAAACATCAAGTTCGCGCACAACTTGCTAGTTTGGGCGCTCCGATTATTCGTGACACTCTGTACCAGCCGCTCGGTGGAATGACTCTTGGGAGTTTGGAAACAGATGAAGACGCTCTTGACGAAGCAATTGCTCAATGTCGTGTTCCAACAGAACCAATAGGACTTCAAGCACATGCAATTTTGTTTGGTGGGGTAAAGGCAAGAGCAAGAGATCCGTGGTGGGTCTCCAAGACCAAAAAGGAATAGACTACTTCTTGATGGACATTCAAAGTTAGAGCACTGTGATCTTCATTGGCTTTATTATTTGTGTCTTATTCGTTTCTGAATGCGAGACATGGCTAGTTTTCGCTTCCGCTTCCAGTCTAGTGTCAACGATTGACGTTCTCGGAGCCATTGCTCCCTGTCTTCTTGATGGTTTCGGAATCCTTGGAGATTTTCTATGATATCTTCTCCATAGTTGTGAGAAAAGAAGTCAGCTTCGTAGGATTGCATTTCTGCTTCGGAGAAACGAAGGCCTCTTCTCCTTTTAGTATTGGAGTCTGGTGCAGGCTGATCATCACTGTCTTCAACATCCATCTTGTCTTCACTTGTTCCGTCTGCTTCATTGGAATCCTTTGCCAGTTGCTTTGATGCTTCCTTTCCTTCTGAGGCTGTGTCCGGAGGCAAGCTAAATCCAAAACTAAAACCCCCATCATTTTTGTTCTTTTCCGTTGTTGGCTCGGGACTGCCAAGATCGAATCCAAATGAAAATGCCCCAGTAGATGATGATTCCTCCTTCTTTTGTGCTGTCAGAGTCGATTGAACTTGCCAGGCATCTCGTGCTTCACGGAATACATTTTCAAGTTTGCCCTCTTGATAGATGGGGGTTTTGTCTTCTTCTTCTTTTTCTTCTTTGTTGTCATTATCACCATCTTTTTCCTTCTCATCGTCATCATCACTTGCGCTCTCCTCCTCGCTGTCACTATTTTCAGCGCCTTTCATTGGCACCTCCTCTTCTTCTTCGGACGACCCCTCATCTTCTGAGGGTTCTTGTTCCTTCACTTCGTATTTTTGTGATGCAACGGCTGTTGGATCATATCTTGGCATGATTCCAAATGGCATGGGAGGTTTTGTGATTGATCTAGAATCCTGCTCGTGCTGCTGTTTGGCATCTTCGTCATTATCTTCCTTTGGATGACTCTTATCTTTCATGTCCGGAAAGAGGTCCGTCAGGACACCTAAATTGGCTGAAAGATCATTGTCCATTTGGTAGGCAGCATCATTGGCGTTCTTTTCGCTGGCCGGGACATAATCTTCCTCCTCACTGTCGTTCCATTTCGCATCGTCCAGGCCTGCAGCAAATTCATCGTCCACTGCCACATCTTGAAAGGTTTGCGTTCTTTTAATATGCACCGAAGACTCATCACTGGAGCTATCACTACTCCATTCATAACCTGCTTTAGGAGCATCAGGCTGCTTGGGCTCTTCAATGCTCTCCACAACTACAGCTGCTTGCTGTGGTTCAGGTGGAGCCATTTCATCCGCAGCACTTTTTTCGTCACTGGATGAGTCGCTATCCGAATCATCATCTGACCAATCATAAGAACCAGGCTTTGTAGCTTTGGCTTCTTTTGAAGCGGATGGTTCGTCGCCAGACTCCTCGTCCGAGCTTACACTGTCGACACTCTCATCATCGTCCTCATTTTCCGATCCAGACGCCTCATACTCTTCGCTGGAGGATACAGCATGACGTTCAGTTGGAGCATGATTGTTGCTATCACTGGATGATGCGAATCGAATGTGAACCGCCCGGTGCTCCAGAGGCGCATGGACATAAGCTGTATGTTTCATTTCCCTGATTTTCTTTGCCTTTTGTGCATGATTGTCAGCCCGTTGGAGCAGCTTCTTCTTGGCAGCGTGGAAATTCTTCCAATTGTCCACGGAAAATGGGCGAGTATCGACATGAACGGCTTCATCACCAAACTTTTTTCGAATTCGAAGGCGACGAGGAATTCGGCTGGGGGCTTGCCCCTCGGCTTCATCCTCTTTAGAAGGAGTATCTTCTACAGCTGTGGTCGATTCCTTTTCCTGTGCTTCTCGTTCTGCCCTTTCTTGTCGTTCCAGTTCCAATCGTTGTAAAAAGCTTGGTTTGGCTTCCGCAACTTCAAGTCGACATCCTTTCCACTTGACATTGTTGTATTTCTGTGAAATGATGGCCAAGGCGGATTGATCTTGTGATGATGAAGTGGCCGTCAAGTGAATGAAGCACTTTTCCTTGTCTACAATGGATTGAAGCTCAATACCGTCTAGTGACTTTAATCGAGAGACAATATCTTTGCCACTCAGCCGAGGCGGGTCCAGGCCACCAATGTAGATTCGCTCCACAGTCATGGTCTTGTGCGTTGTTTCCGTTTGTCTTTTCATAGAGGCATTTCATTTTTCGATTTCAATTTTTCATTTTGGATTGATGGGAGGGCAAAAGTCGCCCGTCCTCCGTCCGCCTGCCAACAAACAACAAAAAATGAAACAGAAGCAGAACATATTGTGTTGCCCTCCCATCTACGACATCTACGATGAGTCGTCTCTTTAGTAGCCATATTATATTACTTACTGCGCTGATATGTCTGTCCCTGATAACCTATACTGTTGCGTTCCAAACGGCACCAATCAGTCGATCCCCTGCAAAGCCATCCACCACGCTCTTTGCCAAGTCAGGAACGAAAAAGAAGAAGCCCAATGATGGCACAATTGCTCGCAATCGACAAGCTCGGAGGAACTACGAAATCCTTGAGACGCTTGAAGCTGGGATTGTTCTGACGGGTACTGAAGTCAAGAGCATACGCGATGGAAAAATGATCATTAATGAAGCCTTTATCAAAACATCCTATGATGGGAAATCCTGTACCTTGATGAATTGCCATATTGGAAAACACACCATGAGTGGGGAATACTTCCAACATGAAGAAAAGCGACCTAGACCATTGTTACTACACAAGGCACAAGCACTCAAACTGAAGCAAAAGACGGATCAAAAGGGATTGACAATTGTTCCATTGAAGGCCTACTTCAACAAGGACAATCGTGTCAAGCTTGAGATTGCCCTCGTCAAGGGAAAGAATGTTCGGGACAAACGAGATGACATTAAGAATCGTGATTTGAAGCGAGAAACTGATCGCATCATCAAGAGCTTTAGAATATAATATAAGGTTGCTACTGTAGTTGCTCCTAGGACTAGTTGCTATCATTTACTTTCATTTTAGTTCAATCGTCCAATGCAATTCGGAGCACCGCACGAACACTTCAGGCTACCATCTTCCACTGGAAACTTGTAGTCGTAGGTGATTTCCTCGCCAGCCTTTATGTCTTGCAAGGCAAACACCATGATCTTCTTGTCGACTCCCAAATCGGTATCCACAGTAATTACCTTCGCGTAAGCATTCGGAGTACAGCAGTGGTTCATAAAGCGGGCCATGCATCCAATCATGGTGGCATCCACAATTCGTTGCATATCCAACCGAAACATGTAACAACTTCCTTCTCCCGAGATTTCGTACTGCTCTTCCCGGCGGTCGGCAACTCCCTGCCGAACAATCTCGCCCATATATTCGACAATCATCGAATCCTTGGCTATTTCTTGCTTGGTAAAGAGACCCCAGCCGTGAATGTGAGATCGTTTGGCAACCAGACGTTGTTCAATGGGAATGGCCTTCATTTGGCGGTACTTGAGGGCTATTCGACTGCGGTCAGCCTTGGCCTTTTCAGAATCTTGCTTTCTACCACCAAGAGCATCGGCTGCAGCGTTGTCACTGTCGACGTTTCGAACCAGTGCCCTTGTAATGCGATCACTTCCTCCACTGCGTGCCACAGCAGTAATGCCTTCTGTTCGAGCACAGCCGCTGGTATTTTCCAGCTTTTGTTCTGCGGCTGCAGCAGCTCGTTTCCGTTGGAGCTCCATAATGGATTCCACAGTAGGCTGTGTGTAGCAAAAGTGATATTGTGGTGATGTTGGGTGGATAGGGGCTACCACTGCCTCGATGCCACTGGTGGATTCCAAGGCTTTACGAATTGGAATGGTTCCATAACCAAAGAATTGCGGACCATTAAGGCCAAAAGCTCCTTTTCGGTTTCCACGCTTTGTTGGAAGCTTGGAGAATGGATCGCCATTCGAGAAATGAGAACCATTAGCTTTGTCCACCAGCCTCATCAGCGTTCTGTAGGCTTCTTCCGATGAGGAAGCTGCAATGCTTGAGGATGGGTTGTCCGCCGGCGTAATAGAGAAAATCGGTTTCGAATTGGAAGACTTTTCGATCGCCAAGACATAGACAGTTCGGGTCTTTGGATGAGCCGTTGACCAAAAGATTCTCGTAGCCAAATAGCCTGGGGGTGTGATATAATCCACACTATGAAATCCGTCGACATCCTGTTCGACCGTTCCCAAGGAATGCACAGTCAACGCTCCAACCCTCAAGCAGATGTCGTTGTCTGTGAGCTCGGAGACATCCACTTTTGATTTCTCTGGAGCAATGACTAGAGTCTTCATTAGTTCGATACTTGGATTAGGAACCAAATCTTTTGTGCTGTCCTTGTGTGCCTTGCAGTATATCTCTTTCGAGGAGGTAAAGACTGCATCACAAGCGTGTGCACATGGGAAATGATAGTTGAAGTTGCAATTCCCCTTGACACAACCAACAGTCGCCCCTTGTCTCCCACATCCAAAACACTTCAATTGGGCTCCTCGTGATTTGGCCTTTTCCATTGCATTGACGACTCCTCCACTCGGAGATTCCCATGTTTCCGAGCTCCAAAGGGCACAGGATGCGTGGACCCAATCGCCATCCGCCATTGGTAAGAGTCGTCCTAGTTTCGGGACAACTGTATCATTTGGATCCTCAAAAGCTGGCGGTAGCTGCTCCAAATGCCCCGCATCATCATCTCCGCACATGTGGCAAAGAACGCATGATCGTGGATCAAACCATTTGAAATTATCATTGGATCCAACAATATCATTCCAGCCACAAACAGCACTGGCAAGCTTGTACTCTTTACCATCGTCTGATGATTGGCGTCTGGATGATGAAGGATTTTCACTGGGAGCTTCATGCAGCACCTGTGTCTGAACAATTGGGCTCAACTTAGACTCAAATTTCTCAAGCCACTCGTCCTTGTTGATAATGTTTCGATTCCTTTCACATCGGATGGAATCAAAGGTCAATTCGGCAGCCCCACTCTCATGTGGTGGCTTCAATAGCTTAGCGACCCGATCATAGCCCTTGACATTTCGCTTCGTCTTCAAACCCATCACACGGCAGGCAACCTTCAGCCAACTTGCCGCAAGCTTCGAGATCATGACACACTGTTCGATTCGTCGCGCAGAAAATCCAAAAGCCTCGAGCTTTAGTTTCTTGGCAATATGGATGAATCGTGTCGCTCTTTGACCCATCCAGGCCGGCAAGTCATCGCACTCTTCCCAGAATCGGTCCATGAGATATCTGGCATCACCAAACTGTTCTCTGGCCAGCCCCAAGAAACGGACTCCTTCCAACACGACTCTGCGATACTCGTCTCGCCACAGGTTTCGAGTCTTCCAATCTACTTGCTCCATTAGCTTCTCTTTCAGTTCAGTTTCGCTCATATCTTCCCCTGGAACAATGATTCCCTGTTGTACAACTTTTGTTACATGATCATACAAGTGGCGCCGAGCTACTTTGCCCGTATTTTTCTTTTTCCCTCCTTGCTTCTTGGAGCACGTTGGACAGGAGTATTTTGATGACTGAGAAGAAAATATGTAACACTATTGTCAGCACAATGGATCTGATCGTGTCAGTCGTCATGGAACACAATACGCTGTACTTACACTTCGATTTTTGGTATCCATGACATCATCCTTGGAGCTTTGTCGATTCACGAATTCTTGGGCTTTCGGGTCGCAACGAGCCTTCACCTTGACACCACACTGTTCGCATTCGGCGAGGTCTGTATCCCCATCTCGCCACAAGGTGGAACAGACACCACATTTGTGAGATTTGCGATCCACTAGTCCGTCACATCCACCGCATCGATAACACAAGTGTGGGTCCCTTGACCAGTACGTATTTTTCGGTCCATTCGGTTCAAGAGTGTTGCCACACTTTTTACAATCTATGCACTGACCGCATACCCATATACCAGGAGGAGCAAAACTGAGTGGGGGATCGAGCTTATCCAAGGAAAATCCTCGATCGCACATTTCACAAAACAGCATATTTCGCTCGTCTTCCGGTGAGACTCCGGAGATTTCACAAATCTTGCAATTGGGACATCGCCATCCAGCCGCAGATGACTTTTCCATCGAATGAATGGGAGCATTGGCACAAAAGGAATGAAAGGCTTCCCCACAGTCCACACAGAAAAGCATCGTGTCGGATGCCCCACTACTCCCACAGGTGTAGCAAGTATCCATCCAGGAACAAAAGTAGGCATCGGATGGTTTCACCTTGACTTCGCGGGCTGGAACGCAGGATTGGACGCCCACTGGCTTTTCGCGCAGATTTGGAAGAGTGACCGTCGACACCTTGGCTCCCGCCACCAAATCCTTCTTTTCGGTCGACTTGTCTTCTTGGATTCGGTCTGCTTCCAATTTCTTGGCCTTTTCCGCCTTGGCAAAGTTCTCTTCAATTCGATCCTCGTATTGTCCTGGAGGTGCCGCCTTGCCAATGCTTTTGAAAACAGTGTCTAAACACGCCTCGTAGAATCGCTTGGCTTCCTTCCAAAAGGGAGTGTGCGGTCGATTAAAGGTCAGTGCATTCAGCACCATCAATTCAAACATTTCCCGAACCCATGCGTAATTCTTATAGTTTTGATTTCGGGCCTGCACCAACATGGTTTGCAAATCCATTGGACGTTTGATCACATCCAAATAATTGGGCGCCACCTTTTCCGACACTGGTTCGGCAAAGAGCATCATGGTATCTTCGTGTTGCATACCTTGAATCAAATCCAAGCACCGTTGTTTGCAACACACTTTGCACAAGAATTCAGTACTGTAAATGGGATGCTGTCCATCACTCGTCTCTTCGTATTCCTCCTCGTCCAATCCTGCACACCCAGCGTGGACCCAAAGTTTGCAAGAATCGCACGTCAACATGTCCACTTCCGTGTACCCCCATTGTGCTGTTTCGGCATGATACCAGGTAGGATTCACCTTGGCACCTTGTGGCAATTTGTCTTCGTTCTGCACCACTGCCGGTGCCGTGTAATTTAGCCAATCCACTCCACCACCGGACGGATCTTCTGGATTCTTGCGCTTGCGACCTCGTTTCTTGGGTTTGTGGGCCTGTTGCCATCGAATTTGTCGTTGGACATGTTGAAAGTGTTCGTCGTCCCATGAATGGGCACAATTGGGACAGAATTGTCCCTCGCCGTAGGCTTTGGTACACATGCTACACAAGAGTAACTTGTCTTCATCGTCCTCGTCCATGGACAGAGTGGGTGGTGGTGTTTGCACGTGAGATCCAAAAGCAATGTCGTGTTGATAACATCCCTTGCAAGGGATACATCTCGAGCAAACAAATGGTTGTCCGCTCTTGAGTAGCTTTTGATAAACATCTGGCGTAAGAGGAGGATTTGTACACCCCAAATGAAAAGAACCCTGACAAACGGTACATTCCATTTTGGTATCATCCTTTTTCCAATATTCCGTACATCCATGACATCGTTGCTTTAGTGCCAGTGCCAGATTTTCATCCGTTCCTTCTTTTGGATCTTCATCCTTGCTACTCTTTTTCTTGCTACTGCTGCTGCTGCTGTTGCTGTTGCTGGCATTATTTCCTTCCTCTTCCACCTCTAGTAGTTCTACTATTTTTGGCGGCATTCGAAATCCCACCAAAAAGGGAAGTAAATCCAAATCCTTGGCCGGTTTTGGCGGACTTCCCTTGGGCGCCTTGTCCAAGATTCGAACCTTGTGTTCTTTGGATTTCAAATTGACCCAACTCGCTTCATATTTTTTCTTGGCTTGTTCACTGTATTCATAGGCCACCAACCATTTTCCCAAGGCAGGACTGTATTGTTTGACGCGGCCTGTTACTGTTTCTCCATAGGGATAATTGACATCGGACCGAAAGAGTTGTACCTTTTTGCCCATGTAATTGTGTTGTTGACTACTGCTATTGCTACTATTGCCACTACCACTGCCACTCGAAGTAGAACAACTCATGGCAAAGGCTTGTTTGGCATAATACTTGGCCGCCTCATTTCGTATTTGTTGAATCTTGGCTTCTTCGACCATTGCCAATTGAATCGCATTGGTGTTTCGTTTCTTTTTATTCTTGGCAATGGTCGCATCAATATGCCCCCTGGTAAAGGGCCTCAACGTTTCGGGTCCATCTCGTAACGTCGCCACTTCTCCCGATCCAATGAATTCGACACTTCGATAACCTTCTCGGACCGGATGCAAATCCGATTCTAATACCATGGCCGGCCACCAAGCATATCCCTTGACGTGAGCCCAGACCAATTCAGTGGCAATTTGAATTCCCTCTTCAATGCGCAAATGAATCCACACGCAATTGTCATTGTCTGCCTTTTCGTATGAGCGCGTACCATGGACGAATTGAATCTTGTGCTTGTGGGTACAGGGATCATATCTCAAGATACGTCCATCGTGCCAATCTCCAGTCTTGTCGTCCGAAACGCGGACAAACCAACCCACCTTTTGGCCTGCCGCACTGTTGGGATCCCAGTGGACGGTAGTCAAATGAGACCATGTGGGTTGCAAAGTCGTTTCAGGGTCGGTGGGTGGTTCCATTTCATCTTCTTCACCATCTTCTTCTTCGCTCTCTTCTTCTTCTTCTTCCTCCACTTCTTCTTCTTCTTCGGCACTGTTAGCTGCATCCTGCATGACTTCGTCGTCTTGTTCGTATTGTGTGGATGTTTCCAATTGGGATTGTTTCGCCTTTTTCTTTTTGTGTTTTGTCATGGTCTTACTATTGTTGTTCTTGTTCTTGTTAGCATTAGCTTGTGCCTTGTGTTTCTTCCATTGCCGTGCCAATTGCTGACGTTCTTCTTCCAATTCTTCTTCCGTCTTGGTCAAATCCAAAATGGGTTGTTTGGGCGGTCGTCCCCGCTTGGCCTTGCCCGGTGGTCGTCCCCGTTTGCGTTTGGGTGGTGGATGGGGAATAAAGGTGTCTGGTGGCAACATGCCCATTTCCACCGACATGGTCAGAGCTTTGGGAATGGAATCGCACGAACGGCCATTGGGGGCAATCCATTTGCGGCGTTTGCGCTTGTCCAAGGTCACATCCCAACCTCCTGGCAACCCACGGGCTTTGGCTTCGGCGAGTGCCGCAGTCTTTTCGGCGGGAGTTAATTCCGTTCCTCTCATTGCGTTGTATTGTATTCTGTATGTGTATGTGTGTGTGTGTGTGTGTGTGTGTGTATTAGAGTGCGTGTTTGGTTTGATTGGATTTGAAGACGATCTGACAGTAACGCCGCTGGTCAATTGGCGACAAAAGAACGTTAAATTGCTTCTGACGTTGACTGACTTTCTCTTTCTCTCTCAATTCCTTTCCTCCACAGTCAGTGTAGTCTCGTATACCACGGTAGTAGTAGTAGTAGTAATAATAATAATAAAGAATGCACGGTGACGATGTTTCACTTGACGACAACAATAACAACCTTCGTCGTGTGATTGGAATGCAAATAAATTGACGCCGTCGAAAACCAAAGGAACGCTTGTTGGGAGGCGGTGACAAGTTGGAACGCCAGCCTTGCCATGGATAATTTCCGGTCATTTTTTGTAGTACCAATTCTACGTATCCGACTACACGTGGAACGAAAATGAAAAAGACCCCAGTGATGTCATTATTATTCCGCCGCCCGAACATCGTTCCATATTCAATATCATAAAATATATTCTGCAAATTCAAAACAGTGAATTTTCTGTTTTGAGATGAAGCAACAAATTCAAAAATAGATGCTAGATTGACTTCTGTACAAGTAGGTAGGAAATAGACCATGTACATTTGTACACGGCTATGTATCAAGATTTCGAACCCGGACAAGAATACGAGTACATCTCTTCCAATTTCCAATGAAAATAATGGTGAAGTAAGCACCGTCCTACGACGATTTTCAGGAGAAGTACTGTACTGTAATTTTGAAGCGCAAGGCTCCTGCAAGCGCACCGGATGCAAACGGTCCACACCTGGCCGCAATATCACAGAATTCTCATACATCAATCATGATGAGATACCTCACAAGTTCTTCTTGTGGAACCGACTTGAAATTTCTTGGATTATCTGAAATCAAAATGCCCATTCTTTCTTTGCGAGAAGGAGAAATGGCAGATTCATTCATTCATTCATTGTCACCAGTCAGCTATAGTTCGCTCCTTGAATACCTCACCATACTTATCACGGAAAGTGCATTGAGGATGGTGGCCTTGCCAGTTGCCAGCTGACACAATGCCAATCATGACAACTTTGATCTGAAAGGTCGGCGGGGTCTTCATCATATCTATAGCGGTTGAAGGGATTTCTACCTGGAGACACTTGAGGTCTTCAAAGACCGCATTGGTTGCATTTCCTTTTGTGGGTGCAGATCGTACTATGCCACTAGGATCATTCTCTGACCGATTTGAAAAACGCTGATAGAGGTGGGGTAGGCTACATCTCTTCCGTTCTGGCGACGAAATAGAGACGACGACGCTGCACCGTTACGTCTGGCTCTGCAACCGCCACCACCAGCACCTCCCGCGGCAACCAGAGCCTTGGGCAACAAGACAGACGCCATTGTAGGCCATGAAAGACTGGCACACACTCAAGCCAGCGCTGTTCAAGAAACAGCCATATTAACTTGCTACTATGGTCGTCGTTGATCTGCAATTCAATACATATATAAAGATCACGCCAACGTGAATGATGGATGGTCAATCAGTCACGAACTCACGAATGGAGGCAAGTTGGAAATTGTCAAAAGGGTTGCTATAAAAGGAACAAACAAAAATCACTCTTTCACTCGTCTTGCTATAATCGTATTATCTACTGTACGTCCTTGATTCTTTCCAAGCTAGACAAGATCCATGACATTTCTTT